AGCTATAGCTCATGTTTTTTAGCCATAACTGTTTGGTCATCTCTCTCTCTCACACAGTCTCTCTCTCTCTCTCTCTCTAAATTTCATGGGTTTTGTGTCATTGTTGGTGAAATTCTTTCTTTCCTTTGCAGTCCAGAGATGATCATGAAGCACGTGCAAACTCAGATTTCCATCACACCAGGTACCAATATTATTATAATCAATTCCTTTCACTCTCTCTCTCAATCACTATACCTCTTTCTCTCTCTTTCTCTCCCTCTCCCTCTCTTTCCATATCTCTCTTTATCTCTATATCTCTATATAAAGCCAACATACTTCCATATCCTACTCTCTCCCCTTTCTTTTACTCACTTCTCTCTAACTCCAAGCAGTAAAACCCAAGCTGCTTGGACACCAGGCAATAACCCAGCAGCTGAATCTTCCTACCCAACTTTTGGATTTGTGTTTGCCTCCCTTAATTTTGATCAGACATCAGATTTTGGGCTGCTCATCCCTTAATTCTCCACCACTCACTTGCCCAATTCATGGACACATTCAGAAACCAGATTCACAATCTACAAAATCATTTCTCAATTCTCCAGCACACACATAAGCAATAATAAACATATTTTTATATGCATGGTAGAGAGAGAGGGAGAGGGAGAGAGAGAGGGAGAGAGACGTGTTCATGTGGGTGTGTGAGTTTTGTTGTTTCTATGGGGGGTTGGTAGTTGGGTGTGTATATATATATATATATATATGAAATGATATGATGTGGATTGTGAAAGCCTTTGTGTATATAAATATTAACGTAGTCTGTTTTCAGTAGTGAAGTAAAAAGCTGAGGCTCTTGCTCGGAGTTAAATCTCAAAAGCTGATCAAAGAAATCTGTGTTGAGTTATTGTCATGGCGACGTACTTTCATCATGGAAACTCCTCAGAAATCCAAGCCTCCTCAGACGGCGCCCTACAAACCCTCGTTCTCATGAACCCCGGCTACGTCCAATACTCCGACACTCCACCGCCTCCGCCACATCAGCAACAACAGCAACCTCACCAACCCCCCTCCGCCGGCAACCTCGTCTTCCTCAACTCCCCCACCAATTCCCTCCCTCACCACCCCTCCACTCTCTCCCACGCGCCGCCCTCCCACCCTCAGCAATTCGTCGGCATCCCGCTCTCCCACGACCCCAACAACAACTCCCCATCCATGCATCAGGCCCACCCCGACCTCTCCTCCCTGCATGCCTTCATGCCGAGAATTCAGACGCAGTATGCGCTTTGGAACTCAATTGACCCCAACACGGCGGCGCGTGATACTCCACGCGCCCAGCAGGGCCTGTCTCTGACCCTCTCCTCACAGCAGCCGGGGTTTGGGTCGTTCCGCGGGGCTACCTCGGACAGGGAGGTCCCGTCGGGGGAAGATATTCGGGTTTCCAGCGGGTCGAATTCGTCGGCTTCGGGTGTGACGAATGGGGTTTCGGGTATGCAGAGTGTGTTGCTGAGCTCTAAGTACTTGAAGGCGGCACAGGAGCTGCTTGAGGAGGTTGTGAACGTGGGCAACGGAATCAGGACAGAGCTGCCCAAGAAAGTTAGCGGGCAGCAGAGTAAAGTGGTGGCTGAGTCGTCCATGGCGGCGGCCGGAGACAGCTCGGTAGGCGGTGAAGGAAGTGGGAAGCGGGCGGCTGAGTTGAGCACTGCTGAGAGGCAGGAAATTCAGATGAAGAAGGGAAAGCTGATCAGCATGCTTGATGAGGTAATTGTTTGTTTAGTGATGTTGATGAATATAGTTTTGTTTTGCTTTCCTTCTCTTTAAATTGGAGAGTTAGAGATTCGAACTTGACACCTCTTTTAGTATCTGAAATGAATTTTGAGTATTATTTGATTTCAATGTTAATTATGTTACATGATAAAGTTAATGAAAGTGTTTTACTAACAAGGATTATGAAAAGAGCTAATTGAGAATTTAGGTTTCTAAATTTGACATAAAGTGATAGAATTCTCATAGGCTTGGAACAGAGAGCTCAAGCATATTCAAAGTTGAAGCAGCTAGCTGCCAACTCTTTTCTGCAATTGAAATTTCCAATTAATTTAGTTTGTCCCATTTTTCTTGTTGGTTGAAGGTGGACCAAAGGTACAGGCAGTACCACCGACAGATGCAAGTGGTAATTTCATCTTTCGAGCAAGCAGCTGGAATTGGTTCAGCTAGAACTTACACTGCTCTGGCCCTACAAACCATCTCAAAGCAATTCAGGTGCTTGAAAGATGCCATAACAAACCAAATTCGAGCAGCAAACAAGAGCTTAGGAGAAGAAGATTGTGCAGCAGGCAAGATTGAAGGGTCAAGGCTCAAATATGTGGACCATCAGCTGAGGCAGCAAAGGGCTCTCCAACAGTTGGGAATGATCCAGCACAATGCTTGGAGACCCCAGAGAGGCTTGCCCGAAAGATCTGTTTCCGTTCTTCGTGCTTGGCTTTTCGAACACTTCCTCCACCCGTAAGTACTCTCATAATCCTGAATTCCCCGATTCGTTATAGGGTTGTGTTTTCTGCATTATGTAGTTTTTGTAAGATGCAGTCTCTTAAATAAGATAGCTGTCTCTCTTTCCTTTTTTTTTTTTTTTTTGCTCTCAGTGTTCTTAACACAATTTACTAAGAATGGTTGAATTTTGTGTTTCAGCTACCCAAAGGATTCAGACAAGCACATGCTTGCAAAACAGACAGGGCTTACTAGGAGCCAGGTACTGAAATCTATGCACATTTTTCAAATGCAAAATCTTTCTCTTTTTTGTTTTGATACTCAGTTGTGAGGAATTATTGTGTTGATGAGTTTGAGCATTTGATTATGCAGGTTTCTAATTGGTTCATAAATGCTCGAGTCCGGCTGTGGAAGCCAATGGTGGAGGAAATGTACTTGGAGGAGGTCAAGGAGCATGAACAGAATGGATCATCGGAGAAAATGAGCAAGAGCAATGAGGACTCTGCATCCAAGTCCACAGCTCCACAAGACACTGAGAATAATCAAACAACAAGCACTTTCAATTCCAAACAAGAGAACTCAACAAATCATAACAATATTGCTGCTCCTCCATCAATGTCAATTTCCACACCTTCAACATCTCCCACAAACATGGTTCGAAATCCGTCTGGATTCACTCTCATCGGGTCATCGGAGTTGGATGGCATCACACAAGGCAGTCCAAAGAAGCCAAGGAGCACTGAGTTTATGCAGTCACCAAATAGTAGTGTCCCATGTATGAATATGGATCACAAGGCTCAAGAGGTAAACAATGAGCAAGTTTCTATGAAATTTGGGGATGAGAGGCAGGGCAGAGATGGGTACTCATTCATGGGAGGCCAGACCAATTTTATTGGAAGTTTTGGACAATACCCAATTGGTGAAATTGGCAGGTTTGATGCTGACCAATTCACACCAAGGTTCTCAGGCAATGGTGTTTCTCTCACTCTTGGCCTTCCTCACTGTGAAAACCTCTCCTTGTCTGGAGCTCATCACCACCAAAATTTTCTCCCTAACCAAAACATTCAACTTGGGAGAAGAGTGGACATTGGTGAAGCAAATGATCAATTTGGTACCATAAACACTTCAGCTCCTCACTCTTCTGCAGCATTCGAAAACATCGACATTCAGAACCGAAAGAGGTTCGTAGCACAATTGTTGCCAGACTTTGTGGCCTGATCATGATGCAAATAATTTAGAAGACATTGAAGTAGCTTGACTAGCTGCAGGGGATGTCATGTCATTATTGCTGCTTTATAAGATCTTCATCCCAATATTTCTTTCTATGCCCTCTAAATACTTGGGGAACAAGGGAAATCAATGCATATGGTAGTGTAAAGAAAGAAGATTTTACTTTAGTATAGGTATATACTTCTGCATAGAATCATTTCAGTTCTTAGACAGCTTTAGGATTTGAGAGCATATGGTTGAGGATTGTATATTAGTTTGTAAGTTTTGGAGATTGGATAGATGGATTGGTGTAAAACTTTAGTTTAAGTGGCATGGGTATACCAATATATATATATATATATTGATATTTAAGTAACTGGGTGTACGCTAAATAATGCCACACTTCTGGTGTTAGCTACCAGCTCAACTCAAATAATGAATAATTTTTTGGGCTTAGACTATTTGATCTGATAATATTATTTGTTGTGAACTCTGAGAATCTATACAATCTACACACGAGCATAGAAGATAGATATTGATTTGCAGTATATCAATCAAAATATCTTATTTATTCTTCTCAAATCTACATAGAAATGGATTTACAATGGCTATATATATATATATATTTACTTTTATACAAGCGGTATTGGGGCATGGGATTTTCTCATATACCATGAGAGTTCAAACCTAAAATCATTGGTCGACAAATGAAGGCCTAGAATAGACCCCGGTGGCATGGCTATGATTGTATTAAAAGAAGATGATGTGGGACTAATAGGAAGCATGATTATCTTGAGTTGTTTTGCTTTTGGGCCTTGACTCTAAGCTTACAGCAGGACAGTGCATGTCCCATTAAAGTTAGCAAAGTATAAAATATTGTAAGCAATATTTTAATGTATGAATTTTTTTAGTATAATCTGCTTATGGAGAAAAAGTTGCATCCAAACATTTGCATGCAACATCACTCTTATACAGAGACAATTTATTGTTTATTTTGAGATAAAATTAGATGACAGCCCATTTTCTTTTGTTTTTGTTTAAGATATCTTGGATGCCAAGGATACCAAATATCAATAAGATTGCTCCGCGTTTGCTATAGGGTGAGCTGAATTGAGTAAGAGTTTTTCGGTGTGCTTTTGGTCTCCAGAAGGTTCTCATGAACCCCCACCAGAGCATAACAAATTCCACTTAAATAGTATGAAAATTGGAGAAAGTTCTCACTGATACATCTCTGCTTAAATAAAGTATTGATACTTACAGAATTAGAATTGAACATATGATTTTTCACATTGATCAAGGTTACCTTGTGACATTAAGAACCCCAACAATTACAATTTTTTACAATTAATCAGGAGTTACAAGACCAAATCCAAAAGACATATGAAACCCTAGATGCACAATCTACATGGAACAAGTTCAAAATAGGGCTACTAATTCAAATATGGTGTCTACTTCTCATAATCATCCTCCTTTCTCCCCAGGTTTCTGCAAAATACATTGGTTAAGGAAAGGGTGTGTGAATAGCTACTAAAACGGTTTAAAAGGGTCAAGAGAAGAGGTTAATGACTTAATATGTATTGATCTTGTCATGGTTCACCGCTAGAAATGATAGTCTTCTTTTGGATACCTTGGATCTGTAACACCATACCTCAAATGCCTCAGTTAGGTCAGGATATTGAATATGCTCATTTCCCAACCATTCGCTCAATATCTCCGCCTGCTCCGCTGATGGAAGTGCAAGAATTACGGAAACAAATGTGGATTCTAGGGATTGCCACAGCTCACTATCCATTTTCAGTGTTGGAGCATCATCACGGGCAGTTGTGACAGAATCGATCAGTGGTTTCGCAACCCGAACAAAAGGAAGCCACACCTTCACCATATGAAGCCGTTTTGCACTTGGCAAAATGACCGTACCGTAACCTATTGCCTCTAGAATCTTTGCCGCCACCTCAATAACCCTCAGCTTTGTCTCAATCAATTCAGCTGTTGGGCTTGCTTCCTTTACAACCTTAACTATTTTATCTGATGCATCCGTCCAGTTGCAGACAAGTTCCCTCATAATTTCCAACTTACATAATATCTGACATGCCCATGACAGATCTGATAAAAGTGATTGAAATGATTGCATCTTCCCTCCGTCAGAAAATAATTCCATCTCACATAATAAAGCTTCTAATAGATTATTAAATCTTTCAAATAGTCTCTTCACACAATCTTTCACCTCAGATTTTATCTCGTCATCAGCTGCTAAGAGAGGGGCATCATCATCTTCGGTTAGCATGTACTCAAGCTGTTCCTGGGCTGAAGACTTGAGATCATTCATGATTGGAGGAGGGGAAGATGTGGCAAATCGGATGGTTGAGAAAAAAATTCCCATTATGGCTGATTGTTTGACTGGTAGGAGACGGGCAAGAATTGGCTCCACTTGTGTTCCGAGCCGTGGTATGATTTTTAAAATCTCCTCCTCCTCAGACTCTTCCCAGGGGACTGCTTCCAAGTAGTCCACACAAGCAGTTATGATTTGTGGGCATCCAAGATTGACAGCTACCTGAAGAATTCCAAGGGCATTTTTAACACCATGCCACATGTCATCAACGAAGCCATCTATTACATTGTAGAGAAGGCGGAGGACACTGACATGGTGGTCAAATTCTGATTCTTGGCAGTATACCTCAACGCAGTTGCGTGAGTCAAGAATCTGACATGTTGGCCAATTTTCAGAGAGGCGATCAGCGAAATACTTGCTCTTTTCTATGAGGACCTGCGAGTGACAATAAAACCAATCATCCCGCCCTTCCTGTGTCCGTATCCTCACAACAACATCACTGGTTGATCGGTCCCCAATCCTGATAGGAGTCCTTGTTTCAGAAACCTGAAAGAACAGAAACATTAAATAATAGGAGAAATAAAAGGTTAACCATACAAAAACAGAAATAAGGAAAAATAACAAAACATTTTTAGAATAGCAAAGAAGAGCTCGGGGAAACTTACAAGAGATTCCATTGAAGCACTACACACTAATGAACATATGTTGAGCGCATCCTGGAATCTGTAGATAAACATGTTTAGCACAACTGTTAGCACCATAAAATTTCCATACATAGTGGATATTTTACCAAGTACTTCCCTTGTAATAACTATCGACATAATTGAGCTAATTGTTACAAATATGGTTTCAGAATAAATGAAATCACACCTCATGAGAAACATTAAGTGACCCGAAAGAGTTAAAAGTAGATTTCTAGTCTTCTAGGAAACGTTTTCTAGAATAATCAAACCATTGCATTACACAGCGGTGCTAACAAAACAGTCAACCACATGTAAGGTCTAGTTACATTTCAATTATATGTTGGTTCAAAGGATAGCAAAGCACTAGGGAAGTAAATGCTTTTTTTCCTTTTCTCCTTTAAAATTGTTAGAAAGAACTTGGACACCCTTACCATATAGAAGTTGTACTCCCATCTCCAAAGTAATACTTACAGATCTAACTCTGCCACACATAGTCTAGAACTCCAATTTATCTAACCATATGTCAAGTAATAAAAAGAAGAAAGAAAAGAAGAAAACAATTAAGGTGTCTTCATGAGGGCAAGTTCTTCAAGAAAAATTTCCTTCTTGTTCAACAACCGACTTTCGGTCAAAATCAAACATACACTAGCTAATGGGAGACTCTTTTAGAAAAATATACAAGAACGTGATATGAATTAAAATGAGGAAAAAGAAAAGGAAAAAGAAGAAGAAGAAAACCAATGCATATACAGTTTAGCAAATGAGGTTGTAATATGAAATTGGGCACACATTCTTGCTTTCATTTGTAAGAAAACACCCTTTAAATTATATTCTGAGCACCTGTTTCACCTCTTTCTTCCCCAAATTCACTTCATTAAAGAGCAACTTTTTCAGGGAAAGAATTTGAAATGATTATATCTTGCTTCTAAGAAAATTAACATTTTTGTACAAATAAGATAGAAACCCAGATACAGGTTTTAAGAGGGCAGGAAGTGATTAATGCATAAGGAGTTAATACCAAGAAAAATCCCAAGTTCAGAGCAGTGTTTTTAAAGGCATGCCTTCGCGCGCGTCGGCGAGCGCGTCGGAGCGAGGTGGCAGGAAATCGCCCGAGGCGGTCAGCTGTTTCGCGAGGTGCACGTTTAGCGCGGGGAAGGGCGTAAGGAGCGTTGCAAGGCGTGGCCAGGCGAGACAGATCTGGACACTTCTGAACCGGAAGAAATTTTGCGAGTCTGCAAATTGGCTGCGACTCTGCGAGGAAGACGACTCACGTGTTTGTATTTTAGGTTTTTTTGTTATGAAACGACGTCGTTTAGATTGCAGTGTTTTAACTTTAAATGAAACGACGTCGTTTCGATTGCGTTTTAAAAAAAATTCTAACTGAAACGACGTCGTTTCACTTGGAGTGTTTTGAAAAAAATATGAAGCAAGTTTCTGTTTTTTTTTTCTTACCTTAGTTGTAACTAGCCCCTTGCCAATTGGTTTTCTTTTTTCTTTTTATTTTATTTTATTTTTATAATTGAAAAAAGATAACATAGGTAGTTATGTTCCATAAAAGTATGACCTATTATTTCATCAAAAAAAGTATGACCTATTATCTTATTTTGTTTTTATTTTAATTTTCTTTTAATATGAACAAAATGTGAATTTACCATATTATCCTAATTTAATTAATAATTTCAATTCTTAATGTTTGAATTAACCAAGGGCATTTTCTGGTATTTTGAATGTTTCACCATTCTCTATCTTTCGCTTTATATATATAGATAAACTTAAGGCAAGAAGAATTAATATCTTTCTTGCCTTTTCTAAATCCAGCTGGCTGTAGCTTTACTCTACTTACCTTTTTTTTTTTTTTTTTTTT